CTGGAGGGGCAGGGGCTCCTTTCCCCCCAGATTCATGATTGGCCGGCCAGTCCACACCTCCCTAACTGCCTCAGTGTGGGCCAGAAGGAGCCCCGGCTCCCTGCACCCCAGGAGGGCTGCCGGCACAGCCTCTTCATCCAACCCGGGGCCAACTCTGAGCCTGGCAGACGGAGGGCAGAGATCCAGACACAGTTCTGGTTTGCACGGCAAACCCAACCACCCTCTGCTGGGCCACCACGCGGGCCATTCTCCACGGCATACTTCAGGGTCGTTCTGGGGCTCCCGGCCCCATGTGTCACCTTCACGGACCCCACCTTTCAGTCAAGGCTCCTCCACTCCAAGGGCCCAGGCAAAGGCTCCCCAGGAAAACAAGGGACTGGGAAATGCCAGGGCAGGAAAGAAGGCCGAGAGAGGCACGGCCCAGTCAGGCTCCACTTCATCCGAGCCACACTCAGCCCCAGTGCCAGGCTTGTCTGGGAGGGGATGAGGCTCAGGCCATGGGGGCTGGGTGGAGACTCGGATTCGTCCTATGCCCACACCAGCAAGGACAGTCCGTGTGTGTGTAATCAACCCTGCCCAAGGCTGCCCAGTGACACTGGGGTGGGACCAGGACACAGGGACCGGACCCCTTTGTCCCCCACTCTCTGCGCCCTTCCTGAAGGCTCACAAAAAAACAAGAAGTCAGCAACATGACCTGTGACTTACAGACGTAGAAATGGGGGTGCAGAGAATTAGACAGTGACACCAAGTCACTTCAGTCTTCAGCCGGGGCCTTGGAAGCCCTGCCCTCAGAGGGACGAGGGAGCCAGCGCCCTCCCCAGCACCCTGAGGGCCTCAGAGCCTTTGTGATCAAGTCCCTGGGGCCCTGTTGTGGGAGTCTTCTCGGAATCCTGGGCTCCTCCCGCTGTCCCCTGCTGCCCCACCCACGGGACTCAGATGTGGCCCCTTCCCCACTGTGCTGCCACCGGGGTCATGCCCAGCTGGGACACCAGGTGTGGCTCAAACAGAAGGACAGAGGAGAAAGTAACGACAGCTAGGAGCACCCAGAAAGGCCGAGAAGAAGCTGCACCTAGGAGCCTCATGTAGGAAGAGAGGAGGGAAAGGCGATAGGGGACCCACAGCAGGCCAGAGGGCGGGAAGAGGTAGAAGCAGGTGGCTGGGCAGGCAACCCAGAAGGGCCTGTGTCTGCTTGGTGCCTTCCCAGGCCCAGCCCAGCCTGAGCAAGGGCTGCCACAGGGTGGTGTCAAGGGCCGACCTAGCTCTCGTGGGCAGCAGCCCGTCCTGAGGGCCTGAATCCTGTCGCACGGCCCCCCCAGACTCTGAGCCGCCGCCGGTGGGCAGGCAGGAGGGGCTGAGTCTCTCTTGCTTCCTGGCCCCTCCACGCCCTGAATAGAGCTGGCCTTCTGGGGGGCCACCAGGCAGGCCTGCACACCCTCCACAAAAGGAATGTTCCCGGTCAAGACCACAAACCCTGGTCCCAAGTCCCCACAACCTTGGTGCAGCTCTCGGGCGGCTCTGAGGGAGTTACCAGCGCTGCACCTGAGCCAAGGCCTGGTCAAGCCTGGGGGAGTCTGCACCCCAGATGGAGCCCCCGCAGGTGCTAGGGAGGCCCCTGGGTCCCCCAGGGCAGCTCAGCTTGGCAACTGCACAGAAAGCCAAGTGCATCCCAGGGACTGGGGGATCACATGGATGGGTCAGGCATACCCCCACAGGGGTCCATGCTGGTGGGATAGGCAGACACAGATGGCTGCCATCCAGGGCGAGGGAACAGATGAGAGATTGGAGTAAGAAAAAAGGAGCTAAGAGAGCAAGAACTTTGGGGAGGGGGTTGTACAGGAAAAGCCAGGGAGGAAGCCAGAAAGGAGCAGGAACCGGAGGAAGAGGGAGGGGAGCCCCTGCCAAGTGAGGGGAAATGGGCAGCCCCCTAGAGTCGACCTTGTGACCCAAGTGTCCTGAGTAGAAGGTACAGAGGAGCGTGAATTCTTTCACCTTAATTTTTAACTCAGTAATGGAGCATGCGTATTTTCCTGCACCATCAAAAACTCCCCATCACTTAAAAGGACCCCAGTGCATCATCCTGCAGGTGTACCCTAACTCACTCGGTCCCCTCCTGGGTGACATTTGGGGTGGAGTCTTCAGGATCATTAGGAAGAATGTCGGCTGAACAGCCTTCCCCACAGAGCTTTTCTCCCTCTCCTCGGGCTGGACCCCTCCCCACAGAGGGGACAATGGTGGGCATGCAGCAGCGGGTGCTGTCCTGGAGGCTGTGCCTGAGCTCCTGATCTAAGATGCGGAGAGCGTCCCACCTGCCCAGGCCCTCCCAGCCCCCACCTGTCCCATGCCCACAGCATGACAGGCAAGCAAGGCCTCCCCACAGCCGCACAGCCCAACATCCCTGTTCACAGAGAACACAATGCTGTGAGCACCCCAGGGAGAGCCCGCCTCCCGGGCAGAGGGATTCCTGCAGCCCACCCCCTTGGCATGGGTGCAGCAGTGACTCAGCGCTCCGAGCAGGCGAGGCCAGGAGAGTCTGCTGGCATCCCACTCTGAGGAGCAGTGGGCTGGGGGCTGTAGGAGCAGGAGGCTGAGAGGGAGCCCCTCAGCAAGAAGGGGTGTCAGGGTAGGAGCTTAGGAGCCTTTTTTCCCAGAGAAGCATAAAAACTTTGCTTCCAGGACAGCCTCGGTGCCGCAGCGCAACCCTGAGCCGAGCAAAGAAAGTGTCGGTATCTTGACTGTGAGGCCTTGAGGTCAAGAGCAGCCCTGGGGAGAATACCGGCACCCTCCACAGTCTTGGGGAGACACCTGTTACCTGTAAGCCCACGCAAACCTCCCAAGCAGCGAGACCACTCAGAGAAGGGTGGAGAGGGCAGGGCTGCATCTGGTGCCCATGAGTCCCTGAGGCCGACAGTACTCACAGGGCACCTTCCCAGCTTCTCCCACACATGACCCCACTTACACCTCCCCCGGAGAGACTAGTTCCAAGGCACACAGCCAACAGAGAGATGAGCTGGCAGCAGCACTCAGCCTACCCAGCTCTTCCCGCTCCACCCTGCCTGCCCCCAAGTAGGGTGAACATCACAGACAGGCAGGCCAGCAGGCCAGGTATCACCTCTCCCACCGCCGGCCCAGATGGCTCCATCACCTCCAGGAACTGCCCTGGTGGAGTCCTGAGGCCTTTGGGGCCAGGACTGCGTTTCCAGGTTGCCAGCTCCCCATCTTCCTGATGCCCTGCAGAACTAAGGGCCCTGCACCTCGCACAGCAATCGGAGCCACCATCCTGCTCCAGGCCTTCGGTTAAGGGCCCGCCAGGGGCGGGCGAGGTTGAACACGCCTGGGGGCAGGAAGCCCTGCAGCCTCCTCTGCAAACCCATCAGAGCCACCTCTCTGGCCGCAGGGTTGCACAGAGGCCGCCAGGGGCGCCTTGGCCCTGCCCCCAGGAGCCGTCCAAGCTGGGCTGCGAAGGGAAAGGGATTCCCCGCGCCATCCACAGGTAATGAGTCCCCAGCGCAGAAGCGCTGGGGAAGCCTACAATTTGCCTGCGGCCGGTGCCCGCCCGTTTCCAGCCTCTTCTGCCAAATGAGATGTCGCACACGGGATCCCCAGAACTGCCAGGCCGTCCGTCCCCTCCCCCTCCGGGAAGAAGCAGAAATGACAAACAACTAAGAGCGCGGAGGCAGCCCGCCCGGCAACTCCGCCGGGCCCCCCTCGCCTCCGCGCCGAGCCCCTCCGCCCCCTCCCGCCCACTCTGCGGCGGGGCAGGGTCCCGGCCCAGCCCGGGGCTTGGAGTAGGCCAGGCGCTCGCCAAGCCCCGGCACCATCTTCCCACCCCCGCACGGCAGCTATTTATAGCCGGGGAAGCACCGCGCGGGGTGCCGCTGCCCACCCGCCGGCCGGCTCACCATCCCCGGTAGTGGCCCGCGCAGCTCCCGGTCCGCGCCGCCCGCCGCGAAGTTGCTGGGTTGGCGAGCTAGCGGCTTTCGCTTTCGCGGGGCCGGAGCAGCGCACACCCCCGCGCGCCCACTTGCGTCCCCGGCGGGTCGGCTGGGCTCGCCCCAGGCTCGCGGGCGGGCTTCTCCCCCGGGCCCCCCCGCCCCGGTCCGCCCGCCGCCCACCTGGCGCTGTGCGGGGACCCAGACAAGGGCAGGGGGCGCCGCGACCCCGCCGCCTGCCGACTTCCTCTGCCGCGGCGCCCGGGAAACCGCGGCCCGCGGGCTTCCTGCTGCGTCGGGCGGGCCGGGGGCCAGGCGGGGGGCGGCCGCGCGAGCCGGCCCGGAGGACTGAGCCAAAGCTCGGGAGAGCGCAGAGCCTGCGGGCAGAGGGGAGACACTGTCGCGGCCCGGCCCCCGGCCCCCGCCCCGGCCCCGGGCAAGTTCCTACCCGCCGGCTCCGCCGTGGCATCTGTGCAGGGAGCTAGGGCGGGCGCCGGGCCATGGCGCGGAGGCTCGCTCGCTCGCTGGCTCGGAGGGCCGGGGCGGGGCGGCGGGGCCGGACGGGGCGCGGGCGCTCGCTCGCTGTTCGGCCTGGAAGCGGGCCCAGCGGCACGGCTGACTTTGCCGGCAAACACTCGCGGGTTCCGGGCCGGGCCGCTGAGGGTACGGGGGGCACAGCCCTCACCGCGGGAGGTTGTGGGACCTGGCATCCCAGGCCGAGCCGGGTAGGGGCGGCCAGGAGTGCGGAAGGCAGGGCGACAGGGGCCAGCAACGCGCCGGGCTGGGGCTGTCCTCGCCCTGTACGGGGCAGCTCTGTGCGCGGGGCCGCTGGAGTTGTGCCCCGAGGGCCCGGTGCAGGGCAGAGGAGTGGGTGAGTGGGGGATGTCCTTGCTGACCCAGTGGGGCAGTGGGAGCTGGAGTGAAGACTCTTCCAGGCCCATCCTCAGCGGGGAGGGCAGGACAGGGGCATCACGGCATCCCCCACGGGGCTTTCCAGCTGGGAGGGGGCTCATTTTCCAGTTGGCTGTGAGGCCCCAAGAGCAGAAGACACTGGGGGGAGGGGTGGGGCTGGGCAGAAGCCAGGCAGGCTCAGGAGCCCCTCAGCCTCGGCATGTGGCAGCCCTGCAGAGGCCTGCGGGTGCCAGGAGCGGGACTGTGCCCCTTCTGAAAGGAGTGGGCTCAGAGGGATGCCCCCGGCACCCACAGCCCCAGGGAGCACACAGCACCTTCCTCTCTGGCTTCCTGTGGAGCCGGCCGCCCTGGAATTATCCACCAGCTCCTGGTTGCTTCTCCTGCCCCAGCTGAGGACAGGCCGAGCAAAGGCGCAGCCCCCCGGTCAGGCACCAGCCTCCCCACCATCCCTCCCCCACCTCAGCACCACAAGGGCCCGGCTCTTTCCTCCCTCCCCAAACACCCAGATGCCTCAGATCCACCAGGTCCCTATCCTGGTGACACTTGTCCTGGTGACATCTCCCCAAGCCAGATAGTTTCCACCTGTCCTACCCCGGCTGGCTCCTGCCCACCAGCTTTCCCAGGCTTGCCACGTGCCCCCAGTCCAATCGGCCCAAGGCCAACCTTCGGCCAGGGGGCTGTGCACTCCCTGCCTGCCCTCCCTCCGGGGGGCGCAGAGGCAGTGGCTCACACTCCCTGGAGGATCAGGACTCTCTGTCTGGCCCTGGGCTCCCAGAGGCCACACAGCTGCAGGGAGACAGGCCACCTTGATGCTATGCCCACTGGGCTGGGTCTCAGGCGAGGAGTGCTCCCACCGCATGTCCTCAAGTCACAACAGCTGTTCACTGTCCACACTCATGTCGTCATGACACCCACACGTGGGGACAGGTTCAGAGTCACACAGCAGGAAGTCTAGTATAGCTGAGAGCCATCCCCAGGCCTGGCCGGCTCCAGAAGAGGTGGGGACACTCCCCCCAGCTGTCCCCAGGGCTAGAGCAGACATGGGATGCTCATGCCCTGCACAGGTCGAGTCAGACCCAGGGAGGCTGAAGATGTGTGTGGGCATCACATCTGGGCCAGAAAGAAACGGTGTGTGTGGAACGGGTAGTTCTCTGGAAAGAGGCCCCTGTGTGCAGGAGGCCTCCCACACAGCTTGGAAGTGGTGGGTGGGGGCAGCCCGGGGCTCAGGGTCTTGCTGTCACAGCAGGAGGGAGGCCATGGTGGGCGAGGGGAGCTCAGGGGCGCTGGGGAGAGATGCCCCGGGCAAATGCTGGCACCTGAGGGCTCCACCTCCTTGGCCTGCTCCAGCACCACACGGCACCCTGCACCCCAGCCCTCTCCAGAGCCCCAAGAGATGAGCATCACCGTCTCTAGCTGCCAGGCCGCAAAACAAGGAAGTGGGGACCACCCTCCCTGACCCCCCAGGGGGAACATTTCTGTGCACATGGGGATCCCCCCGGGGCTTCATGCGACAGCACTGTGATAGCTGTGGTACTGGTGGGCCTGAGAACTTCTGGGGCCTGAGAAAACCTTGTGCCCCACCTGGCACTTGTCAGCACCCTATGCAGGTCCTAATCACCCACAAAGCACTTGGACGTGCAGGACACAGGCCTCTGACTACTGCCCTGGAGAAACAGCTGCTCCCCACCTCAGGGCCACCCTGAGGGCCTAAGAGGGTGGGAGCTCCTGCACCACTATGCCACCCTCAGGGCCACCCTGACCTTGCTCCCCCACGGCCAGCAGGAGCCCCCGTGAGCAGGGAGGGGCTGGTCTAACCTGTGAGCTGGCTGTTCGGGGTTAATCCTGGGGGGGGCAGGTGCCCCTGGCCACCTTGCCTGGGTGCTGAAGGGTGTGCTCCAGCCTGCCCCTGGAGTCACCCTTGCCACTGGCCTAGTCACAGTGAGTGCCCCAGGACCGCCTGAGCCTGGCAGGCTCCTGGGAGGAGGACTGATGCCGAGGGGGTGCACGGCCCTGGGCTGAAGACATGCCCAGCACCTGAGAAGCCCCTTGACCTCAGGGCAGGATGAGCCTCACACTATCAGGGTGCCCCGCTGCCTCTCCAAGGGACACCTAACCTTAATCCCCCAGAGCAAACTTCAACAATCGATCATAAGAAAACAAACATCTGAGGACATCACTTGATCCCCACGGGGGCTTTGCCTGACAGACCCCTCTCCCCACTCTAGCCCCAGGACCTGTGGGTGACCAAGAAGACAAGGAAGATGGTGGCAAGGGCAAGAGGTAATTGGCCCTGAGAGCCACCTCCCCCTGCCTTGGACCTTACTCGTTGACCTCTTCCAGATGGGGGACTGGGGGCCAGCAGGAGGAAGAGGTGGCCAGGGCTGAGCTGGGGAAGGAAACGGCCCACACACGGGCCCCTTCCTGCCCTCGGCTCAGAGCCCAGGCCTTCCCCACATGGCCCTCACCCCGGGCAGCCTCACTGCCTACAGGACCCTGTCTTTCTTCTCTTCAGCCCTAAGGGAGAGGTCCTGGTCCAGCCCCGGTCAAGGGCCAGCCCTGGGAAGTCCTGACCTTCACATCCCCAGCCACCATCCACCCAGCACCCCTGGGCGGCCAGCGGGGAGGTAGGCAGGCCAGGGCTGCACCCGTGTCCATGCTGGGAAGTCGGGCGGCTAGCTTTCCTCTTGCGGCCCCCACCTGACTATCCCCGTTCATCCTCTGCTCTGCCACCATCTCTTAGGTGAAGCACTTGCATACCCGTCAGGGCTGCAGAGGGGGAGCTGTGAGCCTGGGAGCCCAGGGATGGCCGCCAAAGCCAGAAGGAGCCAGAGAAAGTGAGACTGGACGACTCCAGCCTTGTCTGTGTGAGTAGCCCCTGGCCTGAAGGTGGTCCAGACTGTCTCAAGGCGTCCGTGTTGAGTGAGGAGCAGCAGAGGACAAACAGTAGCCTTGGGGTAGAGACTGTCATCCCTATGCAAGTGGAAAGGAAGACTCCAAGGCCAAGAGGCGTGTGGTGGACTGGGGAGTGGAAGCCAGACTAACGGACCAACGTGTGCAAGAGCCCAGGCCTGCACCCGGGGCGGCGTGCAGAGCGTGTGGCGGGCCTGCTCACACCTCTCTGGCCACCTTCCTCTCAGCGGGCAGCACAGCCCCCTCGAGTGGCCACACCCTCCTTGGAAACACGCACCTGTGCTTTGCGTCACACGCCCCAGGCCTGCACCCCCAGCAGAGGTGGCTCCTGGCCCTGCAAAGCCAAGACCCAGACCTAGAGCTAGCTGCTGGCCAAAGTGCCACCGGCTGCGCTGCCCACGGGACCACGTGGCCCAGTGGCCTCTCACGGCCACCCTTCTCAAGACCTGACCCAACGCAGACCTGCAGGCTGCTCCTGTTCCTTTCCACCAGCCGTTACCCCAGCCCCCACCTTGACCTAACCCCAGTCTTCCCCAGGCTAAGTCCAACGCTGCCTTTTAGGGAGCAAGAATGCTTCTTAGAGTTAACAGTCCAAGTTCTCAGCACTGGGCTTTGAGCTGCCAGCTGGTCTGGAGGTGCAGGCCTCCCCGCTATGGGATGCTGGCTCTGTGTGTCGTGTGCCTGAGCAATCTCTCTGCCGGGAGCGTGCCAGCCTCCCAGGCCCACGGCAGCCAGCTTCCTCTCCTTTCCCTGATGGCTGAGAAAGAAGCTCGCCTTCCACCCCGGGCACACAGACCCCAGCTGCAGCCCCATCTCATTCTCACTAGAGCCTCTGGCACTCAGAAGCGGCTCAGACTACGCTCTGCAGCTGCAAAGTATCGTTGATGTCACTGAGTCCAGCTGTTTTGCCTGTTTGACCCACGAGTGAGGACACAGGTGGGGGACAAGGACCTGCCCAGGGAAACAAAGAGGGCTGGGCGCAAGGACCCCTGTCCCTCGGTCCAGGGCAGCATCCACCTCAGCAGACAGCTGTGCCCATGCCACGCTCAGCTCTGCGGGGATGAGCACACGAGTATGCATGCACCTCCACCAGTGCCTGACCTGCAGGGCCTGCCCAAGGCCCCAGTCACCATGGGGCGGAGCCAGGGTCTCGGTCACGGATGCCAGGGCTGTTGTGCGCAGGCACTGACACAGCCGTGGCCCATGTCAGCTTGGCTGACCTGGCAATTCCAGCCCAGCTGGGGGCTCAGGAGCGGAGCCAGCCTCAGAGGGAGAGAAACAAGGTTGGGGTGGGGGACAGAGCAGCTTCAGGAAGAAGAGGCAGGCCTGTGGGCTGGATGCTGTTGGACAGGGATCTCCCCACATGGCGGCAGGGGTGGGGATGGCTGGGACCATCAGGGACAGCCAATGGGACCACGTGGAGGGCAAGGGGTGCCTAGTGTGTGCAGTGGGGCTGCACGTGGCCTCATGGAGAGAGGGACTGCCAGGGGTCTGGGGAATGGGCAGCAAGGAGAAGAGACACCAGCAGGCTTTGATGCCTCTCGGGGTGATCTGGGACTTGGCATGTGTTTGATGGGGCCCAAGAGAGCCTCCTCAGAGCAAGAGGGTGCTAACACTTGGCTCCTTTGAGCCCGCCCCACGTCAGGGTTGGAAATGAGAGCTACCGTCCAGGCTTCTAGAATAACCCAGTCTTTGGAGGGCTGCTGAGCTGCTTCCGTTTCATCTCAGGAGGGGAGCCCGCATCCTAGAAAAGCCATGTCTGATGTGCACATGGAGAAAACTAGGACAACCCATCCACCATCTGACCCCTGGCTCCTAATGAGTGGCCTTTATGGACCCAGGGGCATCTGTGCTGATTAAGTGGAGCCAGGTTCAGGCCACAAGTGGTGGCAGTGGCCGTGGCCTGTGCCAGGTGTCTTCCCAGCACAGGATCCTCATGCAGGGAGGGGCTGAGCTGAAGGGGTGGCGGGGGTCAGGCACTGACCACAGACAAAGCCCAGGCAGAGCTGGTGCCTCCACTGGCATTCAGGTCCCAAGCAGGCTTACAACCCGCCACCTCCCCCAAACCCTTCACACTCATGTAGAACAGCAGAAGGGGAACAAACTCGTCCAGGCTTGTCCTGCAGAGCAGGGCTCTGTCCCCAACCTGCAGGGGTGCCCTGAACCAGAAGAACAAATGTGAGATGTTACAAGCGCAGCATTCCTCCCCTCTCTAGAGCGCCGTGCAGCCTCTGCTGTGGCCTGGGGGCCTCCCACTGAGCTGTGAGGAACAAGGACGAGGACCGGCCCCTGGGAGCAGGGCCCCCACACCTGCCGGACGCTCCTGCTGGCAGGTGGCGGAACTTGCAGAGGCCTGAGTTCACGACCCAAGCCAAGCAGCGTTGCAGCACATATCCAATCACTCTCTGGCTAGAGTGCACCCTCCCCCGGACGTACCTCTGGATGACCATGGACGTGGGCAGCCCTGGGGACAGCCAGCCCCGCCCTCTCCAGCACCACGTGCCCCACCCAGTGCTGACCCTCATGTGCCATTTGGCCTCTCTCTCTTCCCTCTCCTGGACCACCTTCTCCCTGGTCTGTCCAGCCACCTTGCCCCCTTCTCCTTGCTGTAGCTGGCCGACCCCCTCTCCTGCACCCTCGGCACACGCAGGGTGCCGGGTGCACTGCTCACACCCGGCCCCGAGGAAGGGGGGCTGAGGCAGGGGCTCCCGCAGGTCGACCCCTCCCTCCGAGAGCTCGCTGCGCCCGAGCACCGCCATCTCCTCCTCTTGGGTTTCCCGTGGTGCCCCTGCTGCAGGGCCGGCTTCATTCCCCACCCAAGAGGGGCCTGGAGCCCAGGGTTTCCCACCCCTCCTCTGAGTAGGGCCAGGCGGGTCCCTCTCTGGAAATAAAGCCCAGCACTGAGCCGCTGGGGCTGGGGCAGCCTCCCCTGCAGCCCGGAGCGGGCCCTTGCTCGTCTGTCCTAAGCAAATTTGCCAGTGTCCCCACATGGGGAGCTGCGGGGTGGGTGTGACAGGACGTTATCTGAGAGTCAGTGCCACCCTGGCAAGGGGCTGGGCTTCCTGGGGAAGCTCCACCTGCTTTGGCATACGCTAATTTTAGACTTCTTATACCTAATTAGAGATCAACATTTCAAAATTTGTTTTTAATCAACCAAATTCCTGCACATCCTTCCCAACTGGCCCCGAGCCACCTCGCCTCCTTCCCACGGACCCCACTGAGCCTGTGTGCTCTTTTCCACGAAGTCCCTTCCCCCAGCTGCCTCCTCCTCCTGCCGGGGCCTTCCTGGACCCTCTCCTGGACACAGTGGCCCCGGGGCACATGTGGTAATGGTCTCCCGTGATCCTCGATAACCCCGTGAGGTGGGTCTGGTCAGCCCCAGTTTACAGATGAAGAAACTGAGTCTTACCAATACTGAGCAGCTCGCCCAAAGCCACCAGCTATGGGTGGGGCCAGGCATGGTGCAGGGCCTGAGGCTGGCCAGGAGCAGAATTGAGCGTGAGGGCGTGGGCGGCCTTTGAGTGGCCTCAGCCTGGCCTGTGAGGGAGTACATGCTCTGCCCCCAGGGGCACGTGGTGGCCACAGCCCATCACCATGGAAACCAGGCAGGGGCCCCTGGAGCCTTCAGCTCTGGTTTGGATTTCAAACCCAATGCCGCTTTCTCAGAAGCAACTTGGTCAAACTTTCCAAATAGGAAAAGTGGAAGGAAAAAGAGAGAGAGAGAAATTCCCAGCCTGAAGCCACCTCAGAAAGACGGCCTGGGCCCTGAGCTGGGGAAGCCCTGTCTGGGTGGGCAGTGTGGTGGCAGGGCAGAGACCCCGTAGCCTCCCCAGGGCTCATGCACCTCCTCTGGGGAGCAGGCGGTGGTGGTGCAGCCGAACCAGGTGGGTCCGGCCCTTCCTGTCTCTGCGGGAGCAGCTGCCCTTTTGTGTTTCCCAGTGGGGTGTGTGAGAAAGGGCTCTTTTGGAAAAAGGGTTGGAAAACCACTGACCTCATCCAGCTGGCCCGCCTTTGGAGATGGGGAAACTGAGGTCAGGGTCGGGACCAGGAAGTCAAAAGCAGGGCTAAACCCCGAAGGTAGGGCAGCATGGCTACACCCAGAGCAGGCGCACCGGAAGATCTGTGGGTCGGGCCCCATGTGGACAGGGCGCTGGGGTATCCACACTCCAGCCCCCTGCAGCAGCCCCGGCTCCACGCCATGGGGGTGCCTCCCAGCCCTGTGCTCGGGCTCCTGGGCCAGCGCCCATCGCCACAGGAAGGCCGTCCTCCCTTGGGGCTTCCACTCCAGCTCAGGATGACTCTGAGCTACCCAGGGCACACCCGGGAAGCCTGCAAGGAAGGGGAGGTGAATGAGCAGCAGCCACAGGCACGGTGCCCTGAGGGGATGGGGGACAGGCAAAGGCCACCAGATACACTCTGCCCTCCCCTATGCCCCCACCCATTGCCAGACCCCTTAGGGACCCTCAGCTGCTCTCCACCCTGCCCCCTCCCACCCCCAGAACCCTCTGTGGAGGGGTATGCTCCTGCCCACTGCTTTCACTGTCAAGACAGGTGTTTGGAGACGTGATGGCAAGGCAGTCACGCACTCTGGCAGGGGTGGGCCCGGAATGGCCACGTCCTGATTGCACCAGGCTGCTCCCTGGGGCCCAGTGTATGGCTTGTGGCCATCTTGACACTGTTGGGACCACAGGGCTCTCGAGTGCCAAGCGCTGGACGTTCACATCCCCCATCTCACAAATGAGGAGGTTGGGTCTGTGCAGCCACAGGGCACCTGACTCGGTCAGAGGTGCGCCGGCCCACGGGGGCGGCCCCCCGGCAAAAGCAGTGAGCCTTGGCTCAGCCGCAGCCCCCACACTCCCTGGCTCTGTGGCTCAGGGCTTGTGGTCTTCAGAGTCCCTCCTGCTGGGCTGGGGTGGGGCCAGCTAATCAGGGCCAGGCAAGCAGGATGATGCCCAGGGCGGAGGTGGGCTTGAACCTCCACTCCTGCCGGGCTGGGCGCAGGCTGGGTGGGGAGGGCGGTGGGCAGGAGGTGAGAAGCATCCGAGCTCTGCTCCCTGCGGGCTGCGCGATGCTGGGCCTCAGTTTGCTCACCGTGAGATGGGAATCATGGGGCCACAGGGAGGAGGAAATGTCTGCTGTCCCCGAGCTCCTCTGTGCCCCATGGAAGCAAGCCCTGTGGCCTCCCTTCCACGGCAGAGGCCTGCTCCCTGACATTGTTTCCCACCTCAGCCCAAGGGCCAGGCCACAGCCACTGCCCTCCCACAGGCTGGGAGCCACAGGGAGGGCCTGCATCCGGAGTGAGCCCCAGCACTCCATGGGCCAAGAGGACTAAGCAGAGACTGGCGTAGCCAAGCATCCTCCTTCGCAAAGGACAGGTTCCTGCAGTGACTCTGCCACAGCCGAGGCCTCGGGGAGCCCCCTTCCTCCTGGCCCTGCCCCGCTGGGTCCTGCTCCTGTGGCCTCAGGAAACACAGCCCTCCCTCGGCCCTCTCCCACGGCTCCCTGCGGCTCCCTGCCATCCGTGGTCTGAGCAGCTGCCTGCCCTGCTCCACTTTCCAAACCCTCAAGAGGGCCCTGGGCCTCCTCCGGAAGCTGCCCCCCTGCCGCCCTCCAGACGGCGCCTGCCTGGGGCAGTGTCCCAGGGGGATGAAGCTGAGCCTGATACGTGCCTGCCTCAGAAAGACTCAGCGGAGACACTGATTCCAGGAGCTAGCCTCTGAGAAATAACTTGCAGTGGGAAAAGCAGTGCACACTGGAAAATGTTCTTCTCTCAGGAATGTTGCACAGCAAGCTCCTGACCATTCTGGATGCGGATACAAACACTGCTGTCCCGGGGCTGGCCAGAAACTCTGGGGTGGAGGCTGCCCGCAGGATGTGGGACCCGGGGCAAGTCCCGTGCCCCACTGGGGGACCATCATGGTGGGGTCGAGAATGCTAAGGGCTGAAGCACACTGCCGCCTTCTGCCAGGGCATCCTGGCATGGCCACCGCGGTGAGCCCACACCTGGACACAGAAACTGTCCCCAAGGGCCTGGCAAAAATGCACGTGGGGGCAGCCCGTCCAGAGGCTGATTATGTCTGATTGGTTTTTAAAGTCTAGCTGTGAATGGGGGTGGCTTGGCTTGGGCAGGGATTTATGACCGCTGTGGTCCTGTCAGGGCGGGGGCCGGGGCATCCTACAGACGGGAAGGCCTTGGGCACCTGCTCCAGGCTGAACCGGGCCCAGTGGGCTGGAGGCTGTGAAGTCCCATGAAGCTTGCAGAGCCGAGGACACGGGAAGGAAGGAGAGCTCAGGGTGATGCTAAGAAGTCACAAGCTTGCTAACCGTTTAAAGACTCTTAAAAACTGGGCCTTTTCCCTTGGAGAACTTGAAGTGATTCTTTTGTTTACTTTGCTTTTGCAACCGGCCCATCAATCAACTCAATAATGCTAAAAATAGCGCCACAGCAGCAATTCCTACTACAGCCTAGTGTTCGATTTCCTCAATTTAAACTTTTCCCTTCTTTTCTGTTCTCTAATTCCCACTGACGTGACTGGGTGTCCTTTACCCTGACGTCAGGACGGTGTTGTGCACGGCCTCAGTGATCTCAGCGAGGATGGGGCAGGCGGTGACCTGCCACGGTCCCCCTCCATCGAGAGTGGGGACAGGGACAGAGGCCCGGGAGGGGTGTCCACTGGTGACAAGGAATCCCAGTTTCTTCTGGGAATCAGTCGACACCAGCACGTGGAACTGAACCATCCTCAGGTAAATGGTAGGACGATGAACTGTGGGCCTGCAGGGGCGCCCTGTGTCCCACTCGCCCACGCAGACCCAGGGCCCACCCCTGGGCCCACCTCCACCTGCACCCTCACACTCTCTGTCCCTATGGCCCTGCCTGTCACCCTGTCGGTCCAGGAAGGTGCGCTGGGCCCGTCCTTGCCTGTCTCTGGGGTCCGTCCACTGGCTGCGTTCCTATGGCCCTGACTTGTTTCAGAATGTCTGGATCCCAGCTCAGGTGCCCACTTGCAGTGTGGCTGGGCCTCAGTTTCCTCCTTTGTAAGGCAGGGATGATGGCACGACCAACACCTTGTGGGTTCTAAGGATGCAACACGCTGCTGTGAGCGGTGATGCGTTGCTGTGAGTGGCGGCTGCCCAGAGGAGTGGAGGCCAGCAGCGCACCTGGCCCTGTCCCAGCCTGGCCCCTCCAGCACGCCTGCGTCAGCTGGTGTCACGTCTGCCCCCTGCCAGCCCCTCTGCCCTGCGAGGACCTGGCCCGTCCCTGCGGGCACGGGGTCACCCCACGGCTCCCACTGCTCTGTGGTGCAGGCACCCCCACGCCACCTCCTCTGCCTCTCTCGACCTCCTGCTCACCCTCAGGTTATGGGCTCTGACCTCCAAGAGTGGTGGGGCTTTATTCAGGCCTGAGGGTCTCAAAAAGCATGTGTGCAAAAGTGATGGCAAACCCACTGCGAGCTCTGGGCTCCCACAGCCGTTGTTCACCTAGTCGCCTCCTCCAGAGACCTGGTGCCCCTCAAGAGTGGGCCTCACTCATGGCATGATGGAAGGTAATCAAGGGCCATGCACAGAGTGCTTCGCCACCAGGAGGTCTCAGAGAAAGGGAGGGGCGAGGGTCCTCCCCCCCACCCCAGGAGGGGGCAGAGGTGCAGGATACAAGCTGCCACACTCACCTCCACCACACTCACCTCCCCGACACCCACACTCTCTAGAGCCCAGATGTGGCTGCTGAACTCCGAATGGCACAGCTGCTAAGGGAGCAGGCCTTGGAGTGGGACACACCTGGATTTAAATCCCAGCCTGGCCACTTGTTAGCTGTGTGACCTTGGGCTACTCCCTGGGCCCTGCACCTCATTCAAAGGGGATATAACAGAACCAGCCTTCCCAGGGCCCTGGCCGCTGTCACGGCTGCTGGCAGCTACTGTGCAGAGGCCCACTTGACATTCTCTCCCAGGACCCACAGCAGCCAAGGCAGCCAGGGAGGGGCTGTGAACAGGGCCCGGAAACAGGGCCACAAGCTCTGCTGTCCAGCCTGGTGGACAGAGACTAGAAAAGGGCTTTTGGTTTTAACAGCCTAAAATGCCCACTGGTATCAACCTCCCCTTCTGTACACGGGGACAGTAACAGTGCCTGAGCACCACAGACGTGCTGTGGGGACCAGAGTGAGCGCCTGTAAATGGCGCCAGTCCTGCCACTGCCCCCCGTCCAAGACCGGGCCAGACCAGGCACAGATTCTGGCCTCTCTCTGTCGCTGTGCTGTGCCTCGGGAGCCCCAGCAGGGTGGGCCGGGGGGTCTACACAGAGAGGTGGCCGGGCCCAGCCAGCCAGTCGCTCGAGGCCATGTCCACATGGCCCCGCTGCCCAGGGGAGGCCCTGGTCTACACCGTGGCCACTACTGACCCCGGTCCCCCATCAACCTGGCACGCGGCCTCACCTCCCAGGGCAGGGCTAGATGCCCGTGGCCCCTGCCCAGGCCACCATCCTGCTTATCGCCAAATGGGCCAATCCCAGTGTGGAGCCAGCGCTGGCCTTCCGCCCTTCCTCCTCACAGGCACTGCCGGCTGCCACCCGCGGCTTCAGCACCAGCGAGCACAAGGTCCACATCCCTCCTCCGGCCTAGACTGGCTGTGGGACCTCGGCCAAGGCACCTCACCTACTGGCGCCTCTGTGAAACGGGACTAATAATCCAGCCACTGCGTGGGTTGGCCTGTGGCCCCTGCATCTTGCTGTCAACCGGCCCAGGGCCTGGCACAAGCTGGTTTAACACCCAGGCGACACTCGCCTCGAGGTGTGGGCAGAGGGACGAGCCGAGGTGGAAGGTGATCGGGTCCACAGCCAGGCCCGAGTGGAGGGAAGGTGACGTGGGCGGGACCAACTTCGGAAAAGCGGTCGGTCTGCTGTCAGGCGGGCGCTTCCTCTCCTGGCTGTCTTGGCCCCGGCCCAAGCGGGCGGGCAGACTCCACACTGGAGAAGCCATGCCAGGGCACCCGCAGGCCGGAACACCCCACAGGGACACGCCGCGTGGCTTGTTTACTGCCAGGAGGCAGCACAAAGCCCCGCTGCCAGGGGCGGGTGCGTATAATTAACTGGGTGGAGACCAACACCTCTTCCCTGGGTTGAGCCTCCAAAGGCCCTGAACTTGAGGCTGGCGTCCGGGGGCGGTACCACTGGCTCAGTCAACGGGTGTATGCAAGTGAGGCAGGGGCTGCCCACGGGCCCACCAGGCGCTGAGCTGGAAGGGCGGGGGAAGAGGGGCCGAGTCAGGCCCCGCAACAGGAGGTGGCTGTCCCAGGCACAGACCCCAGGGCCTGGCCAGGGCTGGGCGCCCCCTCGCTAGGGGCTGCTGCTTCCTAGCTGACCTCGTCCCAGGGACCTCTAGAGGGCGGGAGGGATTCACATTTACCAGGCACACCCGCCTGCCGGGCACTGTGCTGGGGGAGCATCAGGGGGCAATGGCAATGCTGTTCTAGATGAGGCCCCCACCTAGGGATGCCCAGGTGCACTGAGCTCTAGAGGCCAGGCCCTGCCCAGCACCACAGGCTCTCTCCCTGGGGGAAGGGTGCTGGCTGAGGCCTGGCCTACACAGTGGGCCATACCTGGGGCTGGGCCATAGCTGGGGCCCAGAGGCCCCTGGCCTGGGAGGTGGGCCCGTTGCACCTGCCCCTCCCTAACACCGGCATCTGCAACTGGGTGGGGTTGGGGGACCCCCCAGGTCACACAGCCAACCGGTAGCAAGTCAGAGTAGGATCAGTGGGACGGATTCCTGCCAAGAAGCACGGGGTGCCAGGGGCTTTAGAGACCTTCTCTCCTTCCCCCAGCTCTGGCAGGTAGCTGTCTGGCAGCTGGCTGCCCAACCAGGGGGCCCTTCCTCCCACATCAGGGCCCTCAGTGAGCCACCAGGCTCCAGGGCACAAACACTTAATGAAACAAAGATGACTCCTGATGACTGTATCTCCCATCAGTTTAAGCAACTTGGAGTAAGGACAAACAGAACCACAGGGTGTGTGGTGGCTGCCGAGGAGAGCGCACCAGAGCCCAGGCAAAGGCACAGGCCTGGGCATGGGAAGGTGCTCCAGTCTCCCTGGTCACCCCACAGGTGGGCCAAAATGAGAGTCTCCTTCGGTTCTGAGTGCCTGGAGGGGCAGGGCAGTGGCCGGCGGGAAGGCACCTGGCCCAGCTCGGCAGAGCCGTTAGGCATGCGTGGGAGCACTGGGTAAGGAGTGCTTGTCGTGGAGCCCCTGGCACCGGGGAGAAGCAGCCCTCCTGTACCAGTGAAGAACTGAAGCCACCAATCCACGGGGGAGAGGGCGGGTAGAGGCGCCCCGGGACAGCCAGGCAGTGGCATCTGCAGCCGTGACAAGGAGGAACACAGCCGCACCCACAGGCACTGACGGTAGCGCCTGGACACACAGAAGGGGGCCCAGGTGGTGGGCGGGGATGGCGACATCCACATCTAAGGCTGCCCCACTCAAGCCAGGGCAGGCCCTTCCACCCTCCAGCCAGGTCCCTTCTGGTCCCCAGCACTGCCCTCTTGAAGCACCACCGGATCCGCAGACAAGCCCCAGGGCCCGGAGCAGGCTGACTTCCTGTCCTAAGGGTGAGTTGTGTGATTGGCCAAGAGCGTGCCGAGGGCTCCTGTCCACCTATCATGACCATCCTGCCAATGAGCAACCCCATGCCCTGTGTGGGCTGAGTAAGGGGTGAGTGGCTGGGAGCCAAACCCACTGGGGCCTAAAGTCTGTGCTTTTCTCGGTGACGATGGGGCCCTGGGACCTGCCCTGGGGGCCGCCAGCCACCGCCAGCCGTGGGCTGCTTTCCATGAAGAGGCGGGCCTCTTCATGGGGCGGGAGCAGCCGTGGTGGAGGCCCCGCAGGCCAGCACTCCCCCCCCACTCCCTCAAACTCAGGCCACAGCCGCGGACGCCTGCACAGCCTGGGAAGCAGGAACAGTGCCGGCCAGGCCCTCGCTCCCTTTGCTTCTTTCACGGTGGCTGGAAACTGGGTTGAAACATGAAAAAAAAACTTGCTTGCTAAAATCAGCAAACATTTTGGGGAAGGAGGGAGAGCCATCTCTTCTTTGGTTACTATGGGAACGTTTCGAATCAACTACCAGTGGGAGAGAAGTTTGCCCTGGACAGAGCTCCAGCCCCCATGGGCCCCCCACCCAGGGGCGCACACACCTGCCCAGGAAGCCGTGGAAACTTCCAGGCACTCAGAGACAAGCCCGTGGCCTCTGCTTTCCTGGTCTCCTCTGCCCAGGGACGGACAGCCCCTCTCTGCAGCCCCCTCAGGGCTGGCACTGGCTCAGAGGGCTCCCACCCCCAGGTCCAGCCCCGCTTTGCTGCCTCCCACCTAGGCCTCTGTGTCCTCCATGGGGTCCCAGCTCCCTGCACAGTCGTCCTGAGGAGGCACCGCTGAGTCATGTGGCCACACGCCTTCTGCCCGTCCCTCCCCAGGGCCCAGGCCAAGCCGTGCCAGGGCGGGGAGGGCCGCAGGACTTCAACCAGCAATGTCCAACAACTCCTGGCTCTGT